TTTCATTACCGGTTAAAAAAAAAGCTGATCAAGTTGTTAATAGGTAAGAAAATCAGTGGAAGAATTAACGATTTTAAACATTGGATAACACCGGTCAGTATTATCAGCTCATCAGATACTGTATAATAGCAGTTGATGACGAATTTGTTGATGATGACTGCAGAACAATTTTTGCATATACATCAAAGCTGTATAAGTAGAGAATAGAATAACTAACTAAGCAGATGTTCGTAGATAATTTTTAATAACATTTGTAATCATTGTTTGTGCTGCTGATAAAACAATAACAACAGCAACAAAAAATTAGTTTCTGGTTAGATTTGCCGATGCTATTGTTATTACTGCCGCTACTGCTACTATTACTATCGCTACTACTGCAAACATTAAGGTTAATCCAATTATGTTTTCCTTTTGACAGTAACTAGATAAAAACAAATAAAAAAAGAGAAAAAAAAAAAGAAAAAGAGATTGGATGAGGATGAAAGAAAAGCAGTTGAAAGGGAGTGAAGAAGTTAAAATAAGTGATTGTTGCAGTAGTTTACCGTGTCTTAGATGTGCTGAGAGCCCCCTCTCCTCCCCTCTAAGCCAAACCGTTGGGCGGAGCGGTAGCAGCTCAGTCTTTCCGTATTTGTTCAACTGCACATCCCATCCATTTCTGGTCCCGTTGTTGGGTCAAAGAAAAATTTTTGAGCATATATTTTGTTCTTATATAAATAATGTTGTTGGAAAAGAAGAAAACATGTTTTTTCTCAAAAGATTTTTCTATTTTTTTGTTGTCTTATTATTTTCATTTTTTTTTATATTTTGTAAAAGTAATGTTGATGTCTTAAAAAGAAAAAAGAACCGAATTATTAAAAAGAAAAAAAAAGCATGATAATAGAAGAAGTCAATTCGTTTTAACAGTCGGTGACGTTGAAAAATTTACGTCTTCACAACGGTGCTTAGATATCCATACTTGATCTTTTTTTCCTTCATTAATTTTTTTTTCTAATATTATTTCACTAGAATGATAGTGAAACTGGACAATTTTATGGCTGAGTACGGTAGCTGCCGTTTTCCCCTAACAATTAAGTGTTTACCAATAAGTTGTGAAGTGTGAACAAAACTAAAAATTGAAAAAACTTACAAAATTGGTGGTTTATTAGAATTGACAGTCGATTGTGTAATAATTGCTATAAAACCTATAGCAGTATTACCAGTAATTTAACAATTTTTACTGCTGTTTAGCCAGTCGTTTAAAAATTGCAAAAAATTTTGCAGAAGGCTAAATTTATACAAATATAATAAACAGAACAGAAATATTTTTGTCGACTGTTGATTGTTAGATACATATCAAACTATTAGTTTATGCTCTTATATATCTGTTTCCTTTTGTCTTGTCAGCACCAAAATTTTTGAAGCTGAACAGTTCAGTATAGTCATCAGTGTTTCCATTTCGATTAGCAACAGTTGTTTAAAAACCAAACCGAAGACTTCAGGTAATGATCCGAAGTTAAATATTTACAAATGCAAAAAAAAGGTGAGAAAACTGAATCAAATGAAATAAAAATTGTACCAAGAATTTAGATCATTTTTATCATTTATAATACTGTGACTTTGTTTTTCATATATTTTAAACAGTTCAAAAAATCTACTTTTTTTTTTTTTTTTTAACAGAACCAATTAATGACTGTTGTTGCTATTTGGTGAAGTACTTTAACAATAAGCATAATCAAAGTATATTTTTTTCTTGTTTTTTTCTTTTTTTTGCGGTATTTTAAAGTTGTCATTTGATTGATATATACAATTAAACATTTTTTTTGCAGTTTTTATTCTTTTGTTGTTTATTATTTATTTTTTTTTAAAACAGTAGCTTTACGAACGATAACGACAACAAAGATAAACAAGAAATTTTTTAAATTTTAAAAAAAGTTATTCAGTATTTCTTCTTGATTAGTAAAATATTAAAAGAAAAAAATAGAAAAAAAAAAAAAAA